GGGGGACACGACACATCGAGGTGCTGAGCGAGTTTTGGAGGGGGCTGCGGGGATCATGCCGAGGGGGTTGCGCCTCGGCATCGCTTTCTCCTCGCTCTCCATGGAGCCCGCACTTTTTCTACGATGACTTTCCCCGAGCTGAGCAATGGCAGCTTGAGTGAGAACCGGACGGGACAGAGCAGCCAGAGCGGTGCCAACCGGTCCTGGGGGCTGCAAGGTGAGGAGACCCCCGAGGGCAACGGCACCACGCTGACTTTCGCCTTGGACGTGCAGGCGGTGGGCATCGGGGTCTTCCTGGCAATCTTCATCCTCTCGGCCATCGTGGGGAACATCCTGGTCATCCTCTCTGTGGCTTGCAACCGGCACCTGCAGACGGTCACCAACTACTTCATCGTTAACCTGGCCATCGCCGACTTGCTGCTCAGCACCACCGTGCTGCCCTTCTCGGCCACCTTGGAGGTGCTGGGCTTTTGGGTGTTTGGGCGCATCTTCTGCAACATCTGGGCAGCCGTGGATGTGCTGTGCTGCTCCGCCTCCATCATGAGCCTGTGTATCATCTCCGTGGACAGGTACATCGGGGTCAAGTACTCCCTCAAGTACCCCACGATCATGACCGAGAGGAAGGCTGGGGTCATCCTCGTGGTGGTCTGGCTCTCGTCCATGGTCATCTCCATCGGGCCGCTGCTGGGGTGGAAGGAGCCACCGCCGCCGGATGAGAGCATCTGTAGTATCACTGAGGAGCCAGGCTATGCCCTGTTCTCCTCGCTCTTCTCCTTCTACCTTCCCCTCATGGTCATCCTGGTGATGTACTTCAGGATCTATGTGGTGGCCAGGAGGACCACCCGGAGCTTGGAGGCAGGGGTCAAGAAGGAGAGAAATAAATCTATGGAGGTGGTACTGCGCATCCACTGCCGCAGCGTGCTGGAGGAGCCCCTCTCCAGCACCCGGAACAAGGGGCACAACTTCAGGAGCTCCCTCTCCGTGCGACTCCTCAAGTTCTCCCGTGAGAAAAAAGCAGCCAAGACTCTTGCCATCGTTGTGGGTGTTTTCATCCTCTGCTGGTTCCCCTTCTTCTTTGTCCTGCCTTTCGGTAAGTGACCTCATCCCCCATCCCAGCCCCGGGAAATCTGCTCCTTGGGACAAACTTTCAGGACACAGACTCATGCATGGAGGTGCAGGGATGTGTAACTGATAGATGAATAAACCAGCAGTGAATTAATTCAATTAATTAACACTTATTGAATATTTATTAATCAGAGTCATATAATCAATCAAAGTAAATAGCAAATGAAGAGAATAGCAGCATAATAATTGGTTTAATTAATTTATTCTGCGTTCAGCAGTTTCAATAATGAAGTTCAGGCTGAGGAGGAAGCAGCTCTGTTTCAAACAGGCTGTAATTACAGCACAGTGGTCTCCAAACAGCTTTGCCATCCCTGTCCTCAGCCTCCCTTCCTCCCAGTTTGGGAGAGGGCACCTGGATCAACCCCTGTGATTGTCACTGGGTGCTCATTTGGGGTTGCCTGATGGGTTTTGCTCCAAAGTTTTGACAAGTTGTTTGCCTGAGTGAGGAGGACACAGCCCCCAGAGGGGGCTGAGAGGGCACAGAGCCTACCGGGGAAGGGAGAGGTCCAAAGCAACATCCCCTTTCAGCATCGGCACTACCTGCAGCTCAAAAAGTGCTGAAAAGCTGATGCTCTTCATCACCATCTCATCTACCAACAGGCACCCGGTTCAGGGGAGCAGATTAACTCTCTGGGGTGGTATAACTAAACCTAGGGAGGAGAGGAAATGAGATTTAAATTACTTATGAAGATAGAGGACAGCCTTAGCACAGAGCTCAGCAAAGCAGGAGTGTCTACCACTTCATCTGCTGGGGGGGACCCACGTGTCCCACAGCCCACAGGGGACTTGTGTCCAAGCAACCCTGCAGCCAGGGAAATGTTACAGCCAGTTCTGCACTTTTTCTCAGGATTTTTTAAAGCCTCTTGCTCGAGGCTGCCTCTCCAGTCAATGGAAACAGCATCGTGACCGCAGGACTAATTTTGACCTGCTGAGGTTTTGATCTCCCTCCAAGTACTGGGGCTGTCCCCCTGGGGACAGCTGGAGCACAAGGACACCTAATTGAGGCCACTCCATCCCCATCTGCCCTCCTGTGGGATAATTCACCGGGATCTACGGTTCCTTGGGACCCGAGGTGTCCCCAGGGTGGTGGATCAAGGGCGTGGGTGTCTGGTCTCATCACGCTGCTGTTTCGTATCTCTCTTATTCGGTTTCTCTCTCTTGGTGAGGGTGGCGTTTGGTGACTTTATTTCAGCAATCTTTAGGGGTGAAATTGCTGCTGTGAGGAGTTTTCACTGTACATGAGCATGGTGGTTTATGGTATAGCTCAGGCAGGGAGCAGCAAGGCTGCTGTGAGCTTCTCTCTCTGACAGACCTGAGATGAATTAACCCATCTGACTGTGCCTCAGTTTCCCTTTCATTGCTCGAGTGTATTGGGGGATTTTTGTAGCTTGCAAATAAATAGTTTGGGAATTGTGGGGCTCAGGGAGATGCCAGTACCCGAAGGCTGAGCTCTCTGGGTAGCCCCAGTCTGATATTCACCACTTTGGCTGATGAGCAGGGCAGGAACCACCTCCAAACCTCACCCACACCTTTACACCTCACAGCCAAAGAAGCTGGGAATCGGGTTTGTGTTCCTTTGAGTTATTCCCAGTAGTTGGAAATAGAGAACAAGCACCAGACAAAGACTTTTCAGTAGAAAAATAAATACTTTATCTTGTTTTACCATATCTTGTCCCTTGAAATGCTTGAACCAGCTTCTCCACCGATGTAAATCTCCACCCTTGCACTGAAGTCAAAGGAGATATGCTGATTTACACCAGCTAAAACTCCAAACTTCGTTCTTTAAGTACCTCCCGTGAACCCATTTGCTTCCTCCAAGCACACAACTTGCCAAGTTCTTTATAAACATGACTTTGATCTGTACTTCCTGCTGTATTATACATACAATATAAACACAGTGAAAGTTCATTTATTTTATGACTACAAAATATGCTGCCTTTGACTTCACCCCCCCTTTTTATTAATTGCAATTTCCTACTTAAATCTGAGAATCGTTCAACGCTATCTAGAAGGAAAACAGAAATTTCTGCAAGTTCTAATCTCTGATTTTGCAGCTCAGGATGAAAAACTCAGGTCTGAAACTCGGAGAGATCAGCAAAGTTCACTGTAAATCCACAAACTGAAGCATGCTGGGGCCAGTTCTCCTTGAAAAAAAGATGGCAAATGGTTACGTAGAAGGGCTTTTTTATTTGCTTGTTAGACAAACTTGCGTCAAATAATTTGAAGGCAACTGGAAATGATGTTGATACACATTTTAAATGAAAATGAAACACTGGTAAGAAACAGAGAAAACTTATTGTTTCAATTTAAGAAAAGAGTGGATGGAAGTTTATTTTAAAAAACGAGCACTCAGTTACATTTCAAAATGAACTGTCACATTGAAATGAATAAGTGATCTGTTTTCTGCTGAAAATATTGAAATGTTTTGACTTTTTTTTGTTCCTATTTGACACGAATTCGCAAGAAGTTGTCATTGCCTTGCGCTGTTGGCTGGCAGTTGTCTGATTATATTTTTCAGGGATAAGTAAATTTGTGAACTGAAAAAAAAATGATTCCCAGCTCTGCTTAGCATTGACTTAGCAATCAGAAACTTCTGCACTGGCTCTGTGTGAGCGTCTGCACACATCTGCAGAACAGTTTCCATGCTAAAAGGCAGTAATATTTATCCAATTGGTGCTGAGAAGCTGAAATAGCCAATAATGTTAAATAACAATAACATGGATGTGCCCAATGTTGTCAGCCATTTCTCCAGTCTACAAAGATTCTGCTTTAAATCAGCTCAAACTCCCCAATAGCTCTACAGTCTATTTGTCAGCTGAGTAATTTCACTCACCCGGGTTTGCAATACATGTCTCCAAGCACAGGGTGCCATCACTGGGAGTTTAACACAATTAACAGTTTCTGTGGCTAATGAGACTCTTTTAACAAGAGATGAGATCCTAATTACCCACAGAACTCATGTGTGGGTTGTATCTTTCGCTGGGTGTGCAGTAGAGCCTTACCAAGCTGCTTTGTCTGGAGACCTTGAAAGGTGTGTGTGGTGGTGGTTGTGTGGTAGCGGTTGTGTGATGGTGTTTGTGTGGTGGTGATTGCATGGTGGTGGTTGTAGGATGGTGGTTGTAGGGTGGTGGTTGTAGGGTGGTGATTTCATGGTGCTGGTTGTGAGGTGGTGGTTGTGAGGTGGTGGTTGTGGGACAGTGGTTGTGGGGCAGTGGTTGTGTGGTGGTGATGGTTGCATGGTGGTAGTTGAGTGGTGGTGGTTGGGTGGTGGTTGTTGAGTGGTGGTGATGATGTGGTCTATGCCAGGGTGCCTCTTCCCTTAGCGAAGACCTGTCAGGATAACATAACTGGAGGCTCCTCAGAGGTGTGAGCCAGGAGTTCAAGGGTGTTTTGTAGGATAGGATTCATGTCCCTTTGGTTGTGTCACACTCTGTACCTTCATCTCAGCTGGTCACAGCATCATGGAGATGCTACTTGGAAGGGACCTCTGAAGGTCCAGCTTTGTCTCTGAGCAACACCAATACCAGATCAATCAGTCCTACTGACCCAAAGCTCCCTTTATGTTCCCGAGGGGAGTGTCTGGAGGTGTGACTCACCTGCCCTGCTTTGGACAACCTCCTCGGGATGAGATGAATTGTGGTGTCAATCTGCCTCTTCCTCTCCCTTGACCACAAAACCAGCCAGGAGCCACTAACCAGCTGATGGTGTCTGCACTGCAGGTATTTGCAGAGAGGGGGGATGTATCCTAGTCTGGATTTTTTTT